GACGAAAAGTTTGAAAATAATTAGACACTCTTTGTACTCTTTGCTCATGCTGGTTACCATAGATTGCTAAGTCTGTAGCTTTTTTTCTTACAAACAAGTCAATTGTTTTTGGAGCTCATTTTTCCATCTAAAATCTCATCACACGATCTAACATCAACATCAATTCTAGATTATTCAACTTTTTACTGTCTAATTCACTTCTTACGCGTTACACCCTTTATTTCCTAATTCAAAACATTTATTTATCCTTTGATCTTAACTTATCGCTTATCCTTATAACAACTATTACGATGAAAAAACAATGTAAAACATCGCTTTGAAACATGTAAATTTATTGAAAAATTTCGAAAAAAACGACTTCTCCATTATCCAAATTTGGATGTGGCAATGGCACAAATTAAAAGATAGTCATGTAAATATTTAAATTTATGACTCTGTTTATTTTAATCCAATGAACAAAGCGGTATTTAATTAAAATAATAACAAATGGCGGTAGTCAATGAAAATTAGTAATTAAATGTAAACATGGTTGAATAAAATCTAAACAATCAATTCAATTTTTGATTTAAGATTTTGCGAATTAGAAAAAAGTTAATATTAACATTAAAGAAAACCGAAGGGCTATTTGGAATCCTTGGAGCTAAAAGCATAAGAAAATAAATATCTAATCTGGTTGCTGAATAATCATCAAACAATTTATTCCCACCATCCTTCAAGATCTTGTCTGGTTAGAGTCAATCTGAAAATTTGCTTGAAGTATTTCCAGTTGTTCTGGCGTGTTTCTAGATAGAAATTATAGTTGAGAAAGCTCAACAACATCTTGGTGTTAGCCACCTTGGGTGACTTTAAAAAGGTTGTCAAAAGGTGGAAAATAGTCTCAACTATCAATTGAGTATTTGATAATTCATTATTTGAAATTGCAATGTGTATTCAATCTATTATAATTGCGCTTATAAAAAGTGTTCAAAAGCAAATGGAAAGTAAGTTTTGTTAATGCCTAATTCAGCCATTAGATACAAAGTATCTAATGTGAATCAGGTTCGAAGTCATTGGAAAGAATGGATCAATGACCCCAACAATCACCGGAATCATCATCATCGATATTCAGGGACCGCGCTCAAGAAATATATCGATGGTTTAATTTTACTTTGCTCCATCATCATATTGACTACACAAAGCCACTACAAACGTCTGCATGACTACATATTACTAGACAATGACTCTAGAGGGCGACAATTATGCTTTAAACCGCCATTTCCCTGCTAACACTTGCAAGGCTAACAGCGTTATCTTTCTATCTCCCTCTAGCTTGAAAGTGAATTGCGGATTCCGCATAAACTTTAACAATTATTCTTAATTAATTAACCTTTTAATTGTGTGTTAAAATTAAGAGGAAATCCTTTCATCAACCCAAAGTTCTACCAAAAACAAGTGCTTAAGTAATAGTGGACAGAGGAATTCCTCTTACACTATTGCTGAATCAACTCAACTCTGGAATCGAAATATTCAAGTGCGCTTCTAATAGTGAACCATTATTTTATAAATTATGGATTATTGTCTTTATTATAGAAATAAAGGTTTACCTAAACGGAAGGATTCTCGATGGAATGTTCGACCTGTTACAGAAATTCGTCCAGTACCCCCTTCCACATGCATCAAGCCTTACGATAGGATTTTAGTTAAAAGTGAGTCTCACCATGTTTGTTTTGCTTTCGAGTTCGGTAAGTCCATAAATATTCTACTCGATCCATCTTAACTAAACACTCTTTATTTGAAACAGGAAAGCAATCGACGCTTAGAACCAAAGCCAGCAAAGTTGCGCCAGCAATTGAAAAGGAGATAGACAAGAGGTACTCGGCGGCAGAACCCATCACAGAGACGTTTGATTCACAAAAGGGAGTTCAATTCAGCATCAACAAAACATCTAAAAAACGGAAGCAAGACCATCAAACGGAATCAATTCAAGAAAATTCTGGCGAAAAGGAGGGAAATAAGAGAGGAAGGATGGTACAAAAGAAATGTGCGACAGTTGCAAAACCGGCCAAAAAAGCTTGCTTAGACTCAAATCGAAGTAAAGGAAAAGAAACTGCGTCAGCATCATCATCAGCTCGTCCTGCACCTGAATATGCTGACGCTGCCAATCTTGCCTCTCTTTGGAGAAATTTGGAATCTTTCGAAGACTTCGAGAAGTATTGTATTGGAAAACTGGATCTTGAACATGATCGCAACATTGGCTACTGGTTGTATTGATGATGAAACCCGTGAAAGAGAAAAGTTCAATGTATTAAAGGCAAACAATGAAACAAAACATTTGTCGAAAAAATTTTATTTCAAAATTGTCGATAAACTTGGAAAAACTCATTGGCGCGATAAATTGGATAAAAAACTCAAAAAGTATGTGGTCCAAAATCCTGTAAAGGGCGATCCCCACAAACCGTATATTTGTGCAAAAATACCAGGTGAATGCGACCATAAATATGGCGCAGTGGAGGGTAAAAGTGATTATGTTTTGGCTCATTTGCGGGAAGTTTTGGGCTACAGGAATAAATGCATCTATTGTTGCTACTCCAATTACGATTATCAAAAAATGAAGCGCCATTTTAAGACACACTGGAGCATGCATGGATTTGATGAGACGGAAAAGCTACCTAAAAAGAAACCAACAGAAAAAGGAAAAGAAAGAACCCGTATCGAGAGAATTTGTTGACGATGATGAATCCTCAATCGGATACGATAGTGATGCATTTACATACAAGCGGATTTTCGCTTCCACAATTTTTGTGTTTTAAATTCGTTACTTGATTTTCTTCATGGAGTTCTGACTGTTGAATCAGTAAGTCCTGTTTGGACGCGGGATTCCACATTCAGGCCTGCAGTCTTCTTTGCTTTTTAGTTTGATTTTAAGTTTTAGTTTTTACTGGGGGAGGATTTTCACATCCTCTTTTGCTTACAAGATGGAGCATTGTCTTTATTATAGAAATAAAGGTGATGAATATGCCTTTTCCATAATTCTATTAGTGATTGAAAAGATTTATCCACTCTAGATAGAAGTAAACAGCCTTTTCTACTGCGAATGAACCCAAATTTTGTGAGTTTGAGGCTTTTGGCAGCGTTAAAAAGACACTACTAGAAGATATACCTTATTAACGTAAGGATAGCCCCAGACCCTTGTTTAATGAACAAATAGGCAAATAAAGCGTGTCAGTATTGCCACAGATGGAGCTACTTTAAAGTGAACATGCAATATTACTATGCAATATTACTATGCAATATTACTATGCAATATTACTATGCAATATTACTATGCAATATTACTTATCCTTGAACAAAATTGCATTAAATTTATTTTGAGTAATTCTACCCTTCAATTGAATGTAATTATTTTGAAAGAATGTAATTTTTTTAATTGTTTAAGTTTATTTGTTAATACAGTTTACAGTTTTATTTTGTTTACATTGTTATTTGAAGTTTTCGATTGTTTACTAGGCAAGTGCTTTGTCGACCAAATTATTTTGACTAGAAATAGGTTCGATGTTGAATATCCAAATCAGAGGCTGATTTGATTATAGTGTTCTTAAACCATATCTCCAGCCTAAACTTGAGTTCAAGAGAAAGAGTGAAAGAAAAGTTGAAGCTCATTTGTGGTACCAACGCCGTTACAGAAGCTACAGTGCTACCTTCTAAAAATGTAAGTACTCCAATCATTCAACCCTTTTCTTATAACTATCGATTAAAGATAGAATAACTCGCTGTTTAAGGTACCATGTTCAACATGCATGTTGATTGTCATAATAAAAAATGTAATAACAATACAATAACAATTGTTAGATCAACTTAACAGCTGTGATAGTTTTCAAGATTTTAAGATCTTCGTTTTGGCTTATTTTTCATATCTTTCAGTCTCAATTTCCCAAGAGATTTTTTCAAATTTTGTCGAAAGGAAAACCTTCATTTGAGCAAGTTAAACTAATCAAACGAGTCGTTAAACTAGCCAACAACAAAGAGTCATGTTAAGCTCAAAGTACTCTTTGACATTTATGACTTTAATGGTAATTTCCTGGATTTTGTGATTCAAGGTTTTAATGCTTTCTTTTATTTGTTAGGTGATGGATCATTATCTTCTGAAGAGGTTGGATTTTTGTTACGAGCTTGTATGGCTGAAAACGATTTGCAGTTTACAAAAGACGAAATCAGGCAACTGACCACTACTTTCATTGAGGAAGCTGACAAAGACAATTCAAATACAGTTGATTTTGATGAGTTTAAATCATTAATGGACCGATATGACTCTCTGATTGAATGTATGTGTAGATCATTAGAACGCTGGATGCTTCTTTGTCCTGCCACATCTACTAATAATACAAAGAAACTATGATTTTGGCAAGTGGAGTACATCAAAAACAATAAACCAAATGTAATCGCTGTAATAGTATATGTCATTTTCAGTGTTGGATAAAAATATCAAATATCATAAATATGTTGGTTATGTTATAGCATTTTTTTCTGTTGTTCATACCTTAGCTCATCTTGGTAATTATGCTAAGCAACATTTTCATCTAAAATCGAAACTTAGGTTAATTGTAACTACTTTTTTTGGTTACCAGTTTAGCTAGCCTTACTTCTATCAAAGGTATCAACTCGTATTTCTTTATTTTCAATCTCATAGTGAAATTTCATTTTATTTATCTTTAGATTTTCGCTGTTTTCCATTTATTTTATATCGTCTTCTGGTTTACTCTTCTTTGCCATGGTCCTAAATTTTGGTGCTGGCTGGTTGTCCCAGCATCAAATTTTACTGTTTGAAAAATTATTTAACTTTGTAAATATAATGGGTGCTTCAGGTTGGTGTCTATTAAAAGCAGGAAGTTTTCAACCATTAGAGTCTACCGTATTCGGTTTTTCTCACAGTCAATTCATTTTATTCCAAGTATTCATCTGAATTTGTGTCTAGTTTAGTTCTAACATTTTTTACTTTTGATCAATTAGTGTATTGTTTAAACATGGATTCAACGAATTGGACGCAGCTATCTGGACACAAGGGTGCATTCGTTTTTCACAGTTCAAAAATTTTGCTCAAAAAATGTGAACCCGACGACAATGAAGCCCGTATCTACAAATCACTGATGGGAGACGCAACTATGAACCGTTTTTTACCAAAGCTTCACAAAATCTATAACGTTAAAAAATCATGCTTCATTGCTATCGACAATCTATTGTACGGTTTTGACAATCCTTCCATTATGGATATCAAAATGGGATCAAGGACTTTCCTGGAGGACGAAGTTTCAAATGATGAACTAAGAGCAGATCTCTATGAAAAAATGATCAAATTAGATCCCAGTGTCTTAACTGACGAGGAAAAACAAGTAAAGTCGATCAATAAATTGAAATATATGCAACTTCGGGAGCAATTGAGTTCCTCATCGACACTAGGATTTCGAATTGAGGCATTCAAGACCAGGAATCTTAACAAAAGCAAAGCCGATTTGTCATTGGTAAAGAGCAAAAAACATGTGAGAAAAGTTTTGAAAAAATTTCTGCCAACTGATCGAGACAAGTTGGATAAAATTTTGAACCGTTTGAATCTGATTCATTCCTCTTTCAAGTGTTCATCATTCTTTGGATCCCATGAAGTTGTCGGCAGCAGCTTACTGATCATTTATGATTCTTGTAAAGTGAACATTTGGATGATCGATTTCGCCAAAACTGTCCCCTTGCCTGAAGGTATTGTCATTAACCATGTTTCCCCTTGGGTCCAAGGTAACCACGAAGATGGTTATTTATTCGGATTGGAGAATCTCATCAATATCATAAAGGAGATCAAGGACACTGTATTCAGCGTTTGACTGAAAAATTGAAAGTTTACTCGAACAAAAGGAAGTTTATAATAGGAAAATACAAATATTATCTTAAAACTCTCTTCAATATCTCATCCTTATTTAAATATTTTAATGAAATCAATATTTCTAAATATAATTGTGATCAGAATCAACTAAAGTGCGAAACAAAACTACCGCCAGAGACTGTTCATCTAATGAAATCAAGTATCAAAGAATTGAATCCAAGGAGATACACTGACTGCAATAAGTAAGTTGAAATGAGGATACACTCCCTATTTCTTTTGTTTTATAAACACTTGGTGTTAGTAAAGGGTGTAACGCGTAAAAAGTGAAGATTATTTCAGTTTGATAAGAATGACAATGATAGGAATGTTGCCGGAAAGAGAAGACACAAACTGGACATTCTTATCAGTGTCTTCTTCATCTTAATTCTTATCAAATTAAAAATAATCTTCACTTTTTACGCGTTACACCCTTTACATAGTGTATTTTCTTGAGAACCATAAATACTTTTAATATTCGTTATTTGTTGTATTTTATCTGTTTAAATATCTATATTTTTGATTGAATTTGATTACTTAAATTGTTTCCAGCTAAAATCATCAATAACTGTGTTCTTCAACTGATTCAACTTACTTATTGCACCCAGTGTAACTCCTGTGTAATAGGCTTCTCTGTTTTAATTATTTAGGCATTATAGGCATCTCTGTTTTCACTTTTAGATTATATGTGTTCATAATTGTGTTTCATTATGTCAATCAACAAAATTCGTCCCCAAGCAGATGCCGGTAGAGAAGTCGTCAACAGTCATAGATTTGATGATACAATAAGAGTTTCGATGCCCCAGTCAACCAACAAAAGTGCTTGTGACAGATGCACAGTAAAAATTCCCGATCCAGTCCAGCCTGGTGCACTTTATTGCTTAGCTTTTTTGATGTTTTTTTGCTCACATTTTCATTAATTGGTCTCGTGAATCTCAAAGTCTCACGAGATTGAGTTGAGTGAGACAAAGTTGAGTTGCTCATTATACAAATACAAAGGAAATTAACTTCTGCAAACTGCTTTAATTTCATATGTACCTTAAACACGATGAAATAAATAAATAAATGCATTTAAAACAATTAAATGACTATTAACATTAACACATTAACAATAATCATTAACATTTCTGGTATTTCCGGTATTATTACTGTATGTTGTTTCTCGAATCAGGAGAAGAGTTTAGTGTTGCAAAATATTGAAAAAAGTTATTTATCGATAGGAAAATATTTACTTGTCCATAAGCTACTTTATTTATTGTTAGTTAAATGTCCATTTGTCATTCATATTCATATTTGTAGTTGAATTTTTCTGAAATGAAAAGAAAGCTAATCCGGTTTGGATGGGCAAAGTTTTAAACAAAAAAGTTCAACGGCCAATCATAAGATCTTATTCAAAGTTGCAGAGAATTTATTTTCAATCTAATTTGGGAAAATTATCTTTATAATTATGTATGGCATACATTATTGGTCAGAATAAAAATTAAATTCTTCAAGGAGTGACACTGATACAAAATTGTCAAAGGTTTGTAGTAAACAACAGGAAGACCCAAAATTACTTTCATTCAGACCATCACTTATTTGACAAAAAATTCAGCCAATCACCAGTCAATTTTCTCTTGATTTGATCCCTTCGAGTCAGATTTTCTCCATTCACTTGACCAATGTGCTTTGTCCCATTCAGATACCTTAGGTGTATCCCAATTTAAAGCTGTTTCATTTTTGGATGTAACACTTGACCAATCTGGTTCGGTGTCCCAATCGTCGTCCCATCTTACAGTCCATTCACTATTGGGATTGTTGTTTTTTTCACTGAATGCGTCTCCATCGTTAGCTGGGCACCAATCAGAGCATTTGTGATTATCTTCACTCTCTGCTTTTGAGTTATGATAGTTATCCCAAGAAATGTTGTCGACAATAGTAAAGTTCTGAGAATTTTGACTCAATTTGTAATTCTATTGTAAATCAAAACAAAATCAATGACACAGAATTGAAATTGAATTAGATTGACTTACCTTATCATTGCATTGTTGATATTTCACCAATTTTTTAACTAATCCTTCAACTTTGGACAATTTCTGAGACAATTCAACAAGATAAGAAAAGCTAGCTTCATCAAGAATGATAGGCCACTCTTTAGTTGAATCTGCCATTGGAAATAATTTCAAGAGTTAATCCTGAAAGTAGGAACGATGTAATGGACTAATGATTGGCAACTTTACTACAATCACCAGTACAGGGTGTAAAGCAAAGAGTAATGTAATCCTCCTTACTCTTTGGTGTAAAGAAACTAGACAATAGAGAAATGGACAAAATTAAATTCGATCTTAAAGGTACTTTAATTTATTGTTAGATGGCGACTATGAAAAAAATCTCCCGATTTGTTAACTTAACCCTAACCACTAATGTACATGCTAGAAGAACATTCAATCGAACAACAAAAGTTGCAAGACGACAATTTAAAGCTCTAAATCCTATTTCTATAGCTCAGTATTTTCTGCATTTATTTTCCATGGTTGCTAGACTCTATCCCACTCCTTTTCCAAACATCTTTAGATTCAGCCGTTACCTGTGACTCCTAATGAAATCTTTCAGGCTTGCTCTTGGAGAGCTTCGCACTTTATGAGTTGATGACCCAAGAAGAAATTGCTGGCATTCCATTTGCAGGGATACTTCAAAATTGCAATGAACAACGTATGTCTGGGAATAGTTGTTAATGAGCAAATGAGTGAATTAAAACTATCATAACAGTTCCTCTTCCTCTGGAAGTTTTTCATTTCTCATTAATAACTGTTTCCAGACATATCTGATGGAAAAATTGAACAATTAATCGTTAATAACTAAAGAAAGGATGGATTTTTGATGGCTTCACTGAAGATAATCAAGAATAAAGAATCTGCACTGGAAGAACTCTTAGTTTCTATCGTCAAATGGAAGATTCATAATAATATAATTTTTTATTACGTAGTTAATTATTGAAGATTCACTAGTTTCTCAATAAAGTGTTACATAATAACACGCTCATTTTCATGGAAAATTTATGCAAATGAAAATGGAAATAAATGATTGACTGAGACTGAGGCTGTGGTTGTGGCTGCTGCTGGTATGGTTGATGCGGTAAGTGTGGGTGTGATTGCTGGGATGCGTTTTTAGGCTTCCTTCGTCTAGTTTGAATCGCATCCTTCTTCATAGTTAATGGTCTAGGCACATTGTGTAATTTAAAATATAAACCACAAGCATTACACACAGATTCGCCTTTACTATTACATCTCCATAATGAAGTGACACTTTACTTGATTTGTGGTTGGTTGTAATTGTAAAGTATAGTACACCTTTAGCTGTTATTGAGAGATGTCATCTTCTGCGAGACTGACGCGCACTTCAAAACGAAAAGCATCGCAGAATCCTGTTTCTGGTAATCCTGTATCTTTTTTTGGAAAAATTGGAAAGCTTGGACAGTTTTGAAGAGGCATGTCGAAGCACCCTGCGTTTGATGGCCCTAATCTAAATCTTTTCTAACAATTCTAGAAAGCTATTAATTCTGTTTCATGATGTTTCACGATTTTATTCATCAATAAGTGATTGTTACCAGATCAGGTAACGAAAATGTACTTTTCGATAAATAATCTGAATTCCAAATCAGGAGAGATTTTTCTTTTGAAATCGGACCCAAAATATTTGAAGTATCAGGTCTATGTGATCATAGACTCATTCAATGAGCAATGTTTTGAAGTTCATATCTTCTGCGGATTTCGAGCCGGCTCAGCCAGCAGAAACATGGCTCTGGCTAAGCCATCATAAGCGTGGCGGATAAGCCAAAATTCATGGCTAGCTGCGGACTCTACCCTGTATAGCTTGCAGTAATGGTTGATATGACACTTTATTTCATTAGTTTGTCCAAACGTACATTAAAAAGTTTGTTAGTTGATTAGAAGTTGATTTAAGATGATTTTGGAGGATTTGATTGAAATTTGATGAAATTCAAATTGAATTAACTCAGGTATCGTTGATAATCATTTCATTAAGAGGGAAAGACAGAAGAGAAGAAGATAGATAGAAACCAATTGGGCCAGAGAGCCTGTCTGTACACCCTGTACTGTATCTAATTTGATTCTCCAGATCGTAAGTTGATTTAAGATGATTTTGGAGGATGATTTGATTCTGAGGATAAGGAAACTCAGGATCTCTTTTATCATAAGGAAAGTATTGCAATACTATAACATGTTTGCTTTTTTAAATAATATTTTAAATTATGTAACATTTTCATGTTTAATTTTTCCTAGTAGATGGCTTTATTCAATTTTTGCAATTGAGTAAACCTTTGTCTATGAGGCTAACTTTACCATCGGTTTAATAATTCATGCTAATGAATTTTGTTAGCTTTTTCAGATAGTACGTCAGGAGGCTTTAGCTAGAGTTTGTTCTCTCGCAATTATTGAACGTGATTATTAGATACTCCTGTATGAATGCAGAATCTTCATTCTCATACTTCACTCGTTTTGACTTGAATGGATTAAAGTAGTTAGACTCAAGCAGCTTAGTTTCATTCAAAGTGATAAACGTTTCAACATTTTGATTTATTGTGCGTCTCCAAGTGTTTTAGGTGTAATTCAATCCTCTCTCCTCAGTTTATGCTTCTTGCACTCAGAATGGAGCTAGCCAAGTTGAATTTCCAATACCTTCATGGAATTTGTGATAAACTTGTTGGAGAGTTTGTGATCATAACGGACAGCGATGGATCAATCATTTACGCTTCTCGCACTATCGAAAGCTACCTCGATATGAGTTGGGTAAGTTTGAATTGTATTTTGTACAGATTTCAATAGTCGATTGTTATTGTTTTTAGTGGCAGATAGTTTATCAATTCAATTTGGATCACCTATTAACTACAGGCAGAAGTCTTTTCAGAAGAGCTTTGGAATCGAAGTTTGCATATGTGGAATTCATTGACAAAATAGAAAAAGCTAA